ATCATTTTGTTCGTGGTCTAATTATATAGCTGATGATTCATATTTTTGGTTTCCTGTATGTAGCCTTATCGTACGAAGAGGAAGTGGATAAATCAAGCCGCTCAAATCATACAAATGATATTGTCCAGTAGAAATTGCTACAGCTCCGAATAAGTGCCGGACAATACTGGAAGAAATAGTTCTTAATATATACATGTGTGACATGTATAGTACATATATTCTTCGTATATCGCGTTAACAAAAGACAAGATGTATATTACATTAAATTTATTATTCATTATCATAATTAATTTCTCACTCGCTGCACAAAACGTTACAACGAAACAGCAATCTTCGTCTACATCTCCGCTTCCGCCATCAATTAATCGTACGTTTGTACATGTACATTTCATATTATTAAACTACGCAAATCTGATAGTTTTATGATTTAATATGTCTTATGTGCACTTGTATCTTTTTTTAAATAATTTCTACGTATTGATATTGTCAAATGTTTCTATTTGCCAGATTACAAGAAGCCTGAGAAGAGATTAGTTGGCAAAACGTTCAATGAAGACTTGACAGATTGGCTATTTACCGGATGTTGGGGTGGAAATAATGAACCAAATAAATGCTCACCATATCATACTGCGATTGAATATCCTGGTTACGATGGATGGAACAATAATGTTGGCAAACCAGAACTAGGTGCAGTTGATACCCCGTTGTTAAGAAGACTGCCAGCAGCTTACGAAGATGGAGTATATAAACCTTCAGGCTCTAAAAGACCAGAACCATTAGAGATAAGTGAGAAGCTGTTGAGTGGGAAGATTGGAACTAAATCAAGAACAGGGAGAAACGCTCTACTTGTATTTTTCGGTACGCGAAAATGATTTATTTTGCATAACTGTCTTCAAAATTATGTATTACCGTTACTTATAAATTTATATTTAAAAAATTCTATTATTTTAAAATTTCTATTTTTAAAATTCTGTCATATAGAATAAAATTTTTATATATAAATTTAAATTAGATATGTATACCTAAACAAAAGCTCTATAAATTTTCATGTTTTACATCTTATAGATGACTATTTTATGTAAATTTACAAACAAAATACATA